GTCCTTGTTCCTAGTAGCGATGCCAGGAGCCCCTAGTAGCGTCCTTGCTTTTTGTAGCGATGCCAGGAGCCCCTAGTAGCGTCCTTGCTCCTAGTAGTCTAGGCTCTACCTACTTCCCGGCAGAGCCTAGGCTTTGCCAATTTGAGCGTCGACTGTCCCTCGGAACCGTGTTCGCTGAGTTCGGAACCGTGTCATTCAGGACCATCGGCTGAGTTGCATGCCATGCGTGTCGCTGTTCCCAGGCCGTCGAAAACTTGTCACCTTCCAAACTGAAGAGAAAATATTGGGTTTTTGTTCATGTGTTTTTTCTAAACATTCCACATTCGCACTCCGATTTCTGATTTTGGGCAGGTTGTTTGCCAAAATCCAGGCACAATGGAACAATAGTGCAAGCACATTGAATCAGATGTGTTTTCTGTGAAACTGATAAGTCTTTCTTGGACTTTGCAGCCGGTGTTTGTCCTGTTTTACACTAATTACGCCATGTTCTGTTGTGCCTGCAGGCGACAAAGGGCTGCAACATGTTTCCTGTGAAAAGTGCGCTGGACAGAACTCTTTTGTTAGAGATTTGCACATTTGGGGATGCACTTTCATTTCTCAACCAGACTCAAACTCGTACTTGAGGTCTGGAGAAAGAACAGTCAAGCAATGGTTCAGCGAGTCGGATCTAAAGCACATATTATGGTGTATGAGTATGTGTTTCAAGTATTTAGCCACAACCTGAGCCATATCCAAGTGAAATTTGTCAGCCTTCGCTCAGATGGTCATCATGCCATCCTACAAAATGTGATTCTGAAGGTTCCTAGAGTTGCAGAGCCATGGATTGAAATTTTGGTCAGCCAGACGTGTGCCTTGAAGAAGATCTTTGAGAGGCCAAAGTTTCAAAGCCGATGAAAACTGCAAAACTTCGCAAATTGCAAGAGTGTAAAATCAAAGGTCTGCCAAAAACAGTCCTTGTCAATCAAACATTGCAAGATGTAGTTGCAAGATTCAGGCTGGCAGGAGGCCGTTGATATGTGTGGAACTATGAGTCTGTGCGACGGTCAGATGGGTCAGATGGCCAGGTGACATGATATGCTCAGGTGAGATGATGTGCTTGTTCAAGCCCAATACCTACGATCCAAAGGAGCGCCAGCTATGCAGCGGCTATGAGTCTTCTTTCCCCACCTGCAAGGTGAGGGTTGTTAGATTTTATCAGAACAAGTGCATCGCTACTAGTAACAAGTGCCTTACTAGTAGTAACAAGGACACTAGTAGTAACAATAGATTTTATCAGAGCTCTTCTTCTTCTCCTCGTCCCCCACCTCCTCGCCACCACGACTGCAACTGCAAGCTCCAGATCTCAGTGGGCACCACCGGCCCTCAACGCACAACATACAACCACACAACACAACCATGCACTAACACACAACAATACACAATACGCAATACGCAAGCACAAGTCACAACCACAAGCAGGCAAACCACAAGCGCAATCACAAACACACAATCACAACACACGCACAACGACCACAAAAGTATAACGGGCACTTTTGTAACTGGAGTCCTGGCAACACTCCGACGCGAACCCCGAAACACCAAACTAGCAATCCCAAACCCGAGGACCCACAAACACAATCGAAAACCACAAAGCTCACGACCATGGCAACATGCTCCTCACCATGGCACGAGATTCAAATGATTGAAATGGCATGCCGGGGATCACTCGAAGTAAAATAACTCTAGGGACTTCAATGTCAGTTTGCTGTCACTCATGACTCGGAACATCAAACCATCTGAAGTTCGGACTTGAACATATCCGTGTGCGGACGGGAAAAGATTATTAAGAACCATGTAGGAAGTGATTACGTAGCTGCAGACCTATTCACATATGATATGCCACACGACGTATGCCATACGAGTGTGCAGGACTGGCAATGTCCCAAGCCCAGCTGCAGGACCGTGAATTTCAAAAAGAGGCAAGTGCAACTCTAGCGCGGTGCGGCGCAGGGAAACATCAATTACATTTTGCATCCCCGTTGCTACGGGCTATCTAGAATGAGTGTGGTCGACCACGGAAAACCTGTTTTATTCGACTCATTTAGAATCATTTAGTTACAGTTCAAGGGTTGTTTGAAATGAGTCTTAAATGAAATGGTTAGCACGGATGGGTTTGCAAACTTGCCAAATTAGCAAGTTGTTTCAGATTTTGGGTTTTACGATTTTTCGGATCAAATGACTTGTGCAGACCTTTGGTGTGCGAAAATAGCTTAACAAAATTCGGGATAAAATGAGGGGTGAACTTCTATAGTTGGTAGCGACGGGGATCATTTTGCACTGTTGCGCATTCGCTTCCAATTCGGATTGTTGAAACGACATTCAGAAGAGCCCAAGAAGCTGGGAGTGGCGTGAAGAAAACAGTTCTCCTTGTTTTGCAATCTTTGGTGCAGGCAGACCTGCATTTCCTGTGGTGCTCGAAAGCCAGAAGGAACGAACAGGCTTGGATTCTTTGCCAAAGCGACCCACGTTGTTCTTCATAAAGCAGACTGAGCAGGTATATGCAATGCACGCGTTTCAAGCTTTCTAAACGTCTTCGGACTGCAGACTGATGACGGTCAAGGAACAATCGCAAGCCATGGAAATGGTTGAAACAAGAGGGAGCACCTAAACATAATGTTCTTTCTAAGTGGGGAGGCATGAAGAGTGAGAGAAAGGAGATGAATACTGAGACTTTGAACAAGACGAGTAGCAGCTAGAATGTTTCTTTAAGAACTCCCCTAGGATTTGTTGGACATTTAGCAGCTAAACAAATTGGGAGACAGGAAAAGACTGACAGAATTTGAAAGGACAAATAGTTCAGTATGTGCAGCCCAAAGACGTGAGTCTAAGAGAAGATTCTATCATAAGGACCAACATGAACCCACGATGGACGGACAAGGACCAATACCCTCCTTTCAACATTTGCATAGTGTACCATATGCGCTTGAATGTTTCTTGGGCTAAGGCCTTTGGATGATTGGCGTGATGGTGAAAAGTGCCTTAGCCCGCAGCATATCATTGTGTTTTGTTCGCGTGGAGGCACTCGCTACTAGGGTGGAGGCCATGGCTATTAGGTTGGAGGCCATGGCTATTAGGTTGGAGGCCATTGCTATTAGCTTGGAGGCCATGGCTATTAGCTTGCAGGCCATGGCTATTAGGTTGGTGGCCATTGCTTTCAGCTTGGAGGCATTGCTATTAGCTTGGAGGCCATTGCTATTTGCTTGCAGGCCATTGCTATTTGGGCGCGGGTCATTGCTATTAGGTTGGAGGCCTTCGCTATTATTTTTAAATGCCAGGGCCATTGCCATTAGGTTGGAGGCCATTGGTTTGAGGCCATCGCTGTTGGGTTGGAAACCATTCCTCTGAGGTTGGGGGTCATTGCTATACGGGCCCTGCTATTAGGTTTGAAGCCACTGCTAGGAGGCCATCGCTAATATATGCATGAAATGCGTGTCCCACCGGTAGCTTTCAAATTCAAGGTGCCTGACCTCTCCACCCCAGCCTTCCTTCTGGGGGGAGGGGGGACAGGTCAGGTATCTAGAAAAGAGAAGTTAAGTCATTCCGGCGACTGGATCCCTTCCTAGCGGCAAAGGCTGCTGGAAGGTGGCCAAAGATCACCCTCCTTGAGGTGAGAAAGGGAGGAGTGCTTGGTGCCTGTGCTTAGGAAAAGGGGAGCCACCCCAAACAGAAGAGCGGCGTCCACTCGGCCCTAACCCTCTGTGACTTGAGTCTGGAGGACTTGAGACGATGGAAGCGCATAAGGTTGTTCAAGAAGGGTAGCACCCTTGAGGACTGGAGTGACCTCATGCAGGGAGGCCTTCTGCCCAATCATATGATATGGGTCAATGCCAGCAGTCATGATGACGTCTGGAGCTATGCCAAGTCAGTCTTGAGCAAAGGCTGCCTGATGGAGCATGAGTACTATGACTGGAATAGTCGACCACAAGGAAGGGTCGAGGACTGGGGCGATCTTGGCCATGGTCACCTGATCGGTGGTCACCTTGTCGCCAGCGATGGGTACTATGAATGGCACGGCAAACAGTACCTGAAGGAGAGCAAGTCTTTGTACCATCTCTGCAGAGATGACAGGAAGAAGTGCAAAGACAAGTTGAGTCGAGGAGGTGGAAGAGAAGTGGTCCATATCAGTCGATGGCGTCTGGTGAATGTGTTCATGATGTCGGAGATGGAGTATTCGAAAAAGGTGGATGCAATTGTGAAGTTTGTTGAATTGTGGGTACCCCGTGTTCCAAAACCTGTGAGACCACCAAAAGAGAGAAAAGGCCCTGAGGGCCATGGTGATCCGACGGGATTGGACAAGGCTCTTGAAGTTGCAAAGTTCGCTAAGGTTAGAAAGGATGAAAAGACAGATAGAAGAAAAGAAGGATGAGCCTGGAAGGGGGCCCTGCGGTTCTGCTAGAGCGCTTCTTGAGAAACGTGCAGCTGAACGCAGGGAGCAACAACGAAAGAAGGAGGAAGAGAAGGAAAACGTAGCCGAGGGCGAAGCAGAAGCTACGAGAGGCAGCGGTAGAGAAAAAGGGTGAGCCTTCCGAAAGCTCTCCACTGTGAGAGGGGGTCCGGAGGGTCCTGTCCCTCGTAGGCTTGAGCCTTGAGGATGACGCATGGGCTTATGCGGAATCGGTGCTCAACAAAGGGTTTATTTTGGAGTACGATGCTATGATTGGAGTGGAAAGCCCCAAGGAAAGTCATGTTTGAGAGTTGATGATTGTGGTGACGTTGGCAAAGGATACCTCATAGGAGACCACCTGATAGCCAGCGACGGCTTCTATGAGTGATATGGACAGAAGTACCTCAATGATGGCAAGGGGAGTGATATAAATGAAGCGCAAGGAAAAGCGGCCCAAAGGAGATCGAAGAGAGCTTGTACACATCAGTCGTTGGGGCTTGGTGAACGTTTTAATCGCGTCAGAGATGGAGTATATAGCAAGAAAGTTGCGTTAGAGACAGTTCAGAAATTTGTGGACTCATGGACAGTGCGAGCAGGCACCGGGGCTGATCCCTCATTCACCAGGAATTTATCGGAACCGGGGGAGGTCGAGCAGTGGCAGCTTTCGATAAAGAACACAGGGAAGCTCCTGAAGAGCGCAATGAAGGAGCTGAGCAGGTATCTAGCCAGCCGAGCCGAAGCAGGAGGAGAAGAAGACGGGTGGTTGAACTCGAAGATGATGGCCTGAACCAAGTGGTACTGGCTCAGTGCCCTCCCCAAGCCATAGGAGTTCGAAATCACAGAGAGTTGACAAGACCGGGGACCGCCGTGGACTTGTTGATGCAGGGGGAGGCCCCAGTTGCGGGGGACCTTCTGGTTCAGAGGCTCAAAGCGCTAGAGACAAGTCACGCGAGAGAAGGAAAGCCGCCAACCACCAGAGGTTGAGAGACCATATAGACCCTTCTATATGACATCTGTCGTATAGACCCCCTGTGTCGTATAGACCCCCCTCCTCTAGCCAAAACTTCATGACATGTAGCTTTGAGCCATATAGGTGGAACACCAGCATAGTAGCAATCAGTTTCGCCAAATGATACCAAAACCAACAGACTGAGCCATGGGGTCTGCACACCTGCCCAAGTGGGCTTAAAAAAAGTTTCCACAAAATCTTCCACTCACACGCAGACGTGTTTTCAACTCACAGGCACTCGCATCAGGTACGTCCAAGTACCCATCTCAAACATGCCATTGCGCAATAATGCTGCAGGGCTCTCAAGCTATATGTACGTGTATGCAGTTTACTGCAAATGGCTTTTACTCTGCGCACCATATCCTCGTCCAATAGACATTGGTAATATCGAGGGTTTCCATGGACCGGAAGATAGTCATAAATCCTGAGCTTTTCAAAACACTAGTGCTAGCAGACAAACATAGGACTGCCTTGCGTGCAAGTGAACCAGCTGAGTTGCATGTGTTCCAGTTGGTGGATCTTTGGACGTACTTGAAAAAGTAAGCGTGAAGTCTCAAGAGCCTACAGCGACAGGCCTGGTTCCAAGGAATGACTTACAAGACACCATAGCTATAGTAGGTTGGAGGCCATAGTAGGTTGGAGGCCATAGCTAGTAGGTAGGAGGCCACAGAACATGTCTTCAAAAGACAAAATCTGTTGAAAAATGGCCGCAGCACTGTTGTATGCTTCCCTGTAGTTGATGTAATGCTGGTTGCAGAGATTGACTTCATTCCTTGGCAATAGCCCTGGGCCATTCCTTGCAAAGACCACCAAAAGACTCGCCAGAGCTCTGGAGGCTTCAGCAATCCATCTGGCGGGCAGAGCACTCACAAGTAAGTAAGGAGCAGCCCCTCCTGTTTAAAACACACACAACACTTTTTGCGAACACTTTTCAACTAAACATGCCTGTAAACATTGTTTTCAGGATGGGCTGCAGAGATGTCATGCGACACTTCCATGAGGAAATTGATCATCAGCCGCGAAGCCGCTCCATTCAATTTTTTCTGTCCAATAGAGGGGTAGGTGGTTGCCTTCTTCTGGAGTGACTCCTTCTCAAAAAGGATTGCCCTTGCTCGGAAATTGTGCGGGATGCCTGACATGAAGGGCCATTATTAGTTGACAAGAACCCTTCTCCAATTTGCGTTTGATGGGGTCAAAACCTCACCCAAATAGGTTTGGCCTAGTGACCACTTGAAATGCACCACTGCACATACTGCCTGTACAATTCTCTCAGGCGCTTGTCACGAGACCTGCGATCATAGAGGTCCTCACCATCAGTGTACACCAGGAACGTCGAAGCATAGAGATCAGGCAACAAAGCCAAATCCACAATGCGCAATAGATCTGGGAAGATGCCTTTGTTTGTCAGGTTGACCCAACTATAGACACTACAGAAACTGCACGTGTAGGAACGCAATTGTTATTTTTATTTGGTGCCATGTTTCGCCAGCTGTTGAAACCAGTGATTTGGCAGATCGCAGATTCCGAGTACTTCTCAACAAAGTCTTTGGATGTAGTCAACCTTACTTAAGTACATCAAGACACCTCAAAACGCCTCGAAACGGTCGAGCCATGTCCGTTCAGCAGTCCTGGAGTCCTGCATGTTAAGAAGCATGGCTCTATGAAGTGCACCTGGGCCGAAGTGCGTGTATAGGCGCCCTTCATCTTCCCCCTCCCGAGTGTGACTCAATGCTTCGCAGTGGTAACAGCATTCCCGATGTCTATAGCTTCCTGGGACACTGCTGCAGGGTCATGGAATATGAAAAGTCGTTGACTGGGTTCCAAGTCGAACTACCATACAACACAATGAGTCTTCCCATAATCAAAGCGTCTTTTGAGGTGGAAAAGGTGGGCGATAAAATCAGCATCGCCCTGCACTCCATCTAGACAAGCATGCCATGGTCCCATAATTCTAGTGTTTGCCACCTTCTGCCGTTCAGGCGTGTATGTTGCAGAGAACTCAACACCCCAGGGGTCCACCGCTGGGTACTCTCCATTTCCTTGGGCGCAGGTCAAATGGTGGAACATGGAGTATCCTGATTTTTGTTCATGGCTCCAAAAAGGGATTGAAACAAAATTTGGTCCCTTGAGCTGTCGTCCGTTGAAAGAGTATTGCGCGACGCAGTGAGGATGCGGGAATCCAGGGTAGAATCACTCTCCCCCAAGACACTGAGGAGGGTGAAAATCTCAAAGGGATTCTTTGACTCTGCCCCATCACCATACAAACGTACAGGAATGAATCTGCGGATGTCCTTTGATCAAGCGTGCGCCACTGAATTCTGAATCTAAATCACTCACACAAACCAGGGACTCAAAAGGAACAACTTTTGGGTATATGGGACCAGCATCAACACCAGGTAATAGAACATCCAGGGCAAGATCTTGGTTCCGCTTCCAATAGGCATCAAGTTTCCCAGGCACCCCTGTAAACAAATAGTGGAAGATACCAGGCCACTGATACAGGCATCCCAGAATGTCATGCGGACACATGACATGTTGCCTGATCATCTTGCTTCCGTCGACCAAGGACTCTTTCCTGGTC